TGCGTGCGTGTGCGCGTGCGTGTGTGTGCGTGCGTGTGCGCGTGCGTGTGTGTGCGTGCGTGTGCGTGTGTGTGTGTGTATGCGGACTGACAGAGCAAACGTACATGTATGTACAGTGAACGCGGGGGTCGGATAACGAGTATCAAGAGCAAAAAATGGACTAGTTTATCTGCGTCTATCTATGCACCTTAGCCAAGCAACATGTCTATAGACCAAGCTAGCATCCCTCTAGCCCTAGCTAACGTCTATATACAGACCTAGCTAGTATCTCTATACAGACCTAGCTAGTATCTCTATACAGACCTAGCTAGTATCTCTATACAGACCTAGCTAGTATCTCTATACAGACCTAGCTAGCATCCATAAAGACCTAGCTAACGTCTCTAAAGACCTAGCAAACACTCCTACGACCTAGCTAGCATCCCTAAAGATCTAGCTAACAATCCTAAAGACCTAGCTAACAATCCTAAGACCTAGCTAACAATCCTAAGACCTAGCTAACATCCCTAAAGACCTAGCTAACAATCCTAAGACCTAGCTAACATCCGTAAAGACCTAGCTAACGTCTCTAAAGACCTAGCGAACACTCCTACGACCTAGCTAGCATCCCTAAAGATATAGCTAACAATCCTAAGACCTAGCTAACAATCCTAAGCCCTAGCTAACATCCATAAAGACCTAGCTAACATCCATAAAGACCTAGCTAACAATCCTAAAGACCTAGCTAACAATCCTGATCTAGCTAACATCTCTATATACAAACCTAGCTAACATCTCTATACAGCCAGGCAATGTGTATACAGTTAACTAGCATCTCTTTATAGAGCCGCCAACAGCTATAGAGTCAAACAGGATTTATAGGGAGCGACAATAGAAGGAAATCACAGACACACGCGACTAAGCTCATGCGAAAACATTTTGCTTTCGGCTGCGCGAGAAGAAGACGAAAAAGAAAATGAAGAAGAAGGAGGAGGAGGAGGAGTAGGAGGACGAGGAGAAGAAGAAGAAAAATAAGGAGGGGAGGGAAGGAGGAGGGGGAGGAGGAGAAGAAGAAAAATAAGGAGGGGGAGGGAAGGATGAGGGGAGGAGGAGAAGAAGAAAAATAAGGAGGGGGAGGGAAGGATGAGGGGAGGAGGAGAAGAAGAAAAATAAGGAGGGGGAGGGAAGGAGGAGGGGGAGGAGGAGAAGAAGGAGGAAGATTAGGAGAAGACGAAGAAGAAGAAAAAGAAGGAGGAGGGGGTGGATGATGAGGAGGAGAAGGAAGAGAAGAAGGAGGAGAAGGAGAATAAGTATAAACAAGAAGGAGGAGGTGGTGGATGATGAGGAGGAGAAGGAAGAGAAGAAGGAGGAGAAGGAGAATAAGTATAAACAAGAAGGAGGAGGTGGTGGATGATGAGGAGGAGAAGGAAGAGAAGAAGGAGGAGAAGGAGAATAAGTATAAACAAGAAGGAGGAGGTGGTGGATGATGAGGAGGAGAAGGAAGAGAAGAAGAAAAAGGAGGTGGTGGTGGTGGAGGAGGAGGA